TATACATATACATATACATATACATATACATATACATATACATATACATATACATATACATATACATATACACATATACATATACATATATACATATATACATATATACGTATATATACATAGGTACAAATATATACACATATACATATATATATTATATACATAGATAATAATATAATAAAAAAGTATAATTATTAGGACAAACCCTAAACCCTTAACCCTAAACCCTAAACCCTAACCCTAATCCCTACCCCTACCCCTAAACCCTAAACCCTAATAATATATATATTCTAATTATTGTCTCAGGTAACCTAATAAAAAAAAACCCTAAACCCTAAACCCTAAATGCTAAAGGCTCTCCCCTTAAACCCCAAACCCTAAACCATAAACCCTAAACCCCTGACTCTCAAACCCTAAACCCTAAACCCTTAACTCTTAAACCCTAAACCCCAATATCCTAAACCCTGATCTATACTAAACCCTCAGACCCTAAACCCTCAGACCCTAAACCCTCAAAAGGGAGTATAAAGTATTTATTTAGGGTTTAAAATAAGAAAAGGAAGAAAAAAAGAAAAGAAAAATTTAAGTAAATAAAATAGGGTTTATACATATGTTGGGGTCTATAGGCAGTAAACCCTAAACCCTAAACCCTAAACCCTTTCTTTTCTTCTTTTTTATTTTATCATCATTGTTTGCATATTTATTTTATCCTTTTTATATACACATCATAAGAATAGTCTTTAATTAATTAATTAATTAATTAATTAATTATATTTATTTATTTATTTATTTATTTATTTATTTATACAAGAACAGCAAAAGCTAACATCATATATCCTGTAGATATCATACCTATAATACAAAGGCCAACTATTAATTTATTAAAAAACCTCATCTTCGTAAACCCTAGGGTTTAGGGTTTAGGGTTTAGGGTTTAGGGTTTAGGGTTTTGAGGAGAAAATAGACGATACACAAACGACCGTGGGGATCGCGACTCGCAACAGACTAGGCGTATTGAAGTTGCTGCTGCTGCTGCTGTTGCTGCTGCTGTTGCTGCTGTTGATGGTGTTGCTACTGTTGCTGCTGTTGCTGCTGTTGATGTTTTTGTTGCTGTTGCTGCTCTTCGTGCTGCTGCTGCTGCTCCTGTCGTGACTGGTCCACGGCTGGTCCTTCTGCTGCTGCTGGTCCTCCGGCTGCTGCTGCTGCTGCTGCTCCTGTTCTTTTTGCTGCTGCTGCTGCTGCTGATTAATTAGTGTGTATATTTCTTGCTTTATTCCCTAAGGCATACAACTGTAGATATAACGAGTAGATAGCAGGCCATACTAACAGACCCGCAGATAAAGAAGAGTTCAACAGGTCCAAACATATTAAATATAAATAAAATAAGAAAAATAAATATAAATAAAGAAATAAATAAATAAATTAATTAATTATTCATAAAGAAATACAAGAAAAGTCGTGAATATACAGCAGTATCCTTCTTGCAGCTTCTTGAGTCGTCATGCATATATGTATACAAGGAGAGCGATTAAGGCGATTAAGGGGTAAAACAAGGGAAATAAGTAGGAAAATAATGAATAAAAGAATAAATTTAATGAATATAAGGTAAAATAAACAGAAAAAGGAGGAAAACCGTCAAGAGAGAAGAAGGAAATGACTACCTTTCTTATATAATGAATTATTTTTCTTGTTTCTGTGTGTGCGCGGCTGCTGATCAACGCTTTCAGGTGTATCTGCACCAGGAAACTTGCAGAAAATATCATTAAAAAGGAAATTTAATGATAAAAATGAATTATTTAATTAAAAATACACCTTTTTATCCAAAAGAAAATTAAATATTCAAACAAATAAGGTAAAAAAACCCTTCTCCCCCCTCTAGCACGCGTCGCGCAGCCACTCGATTCTTCCTCCTTCTATGCATATAGCCTATTTAATGCTAATTAATACAAAAAAAACAACAAAATAAATAAATTAAATTATTATTTATTTATTTAATTATATATAATTAATAAATTAAAAGAATTGATGAAGAAAAAGGTATTATCATACCCTTCCTTCCTGTTTTCTAAGAAGATATATGCCTATACAAGAAAAAAATACAATAAATAGATAGGAAGGAAGTAGATGTGTATAAAATAAAATAAATAAATAAAAAGAATAAAATAAATAAATTAATTATATTAATTAATTTTATTAATTAAATAAACTAAAAATAAACAAAATAAAGGAAAATATAAACAATCAACTTACCCTCATAGTTAAATATAATTAAAAATAATAAATTATATAAAATAAATAAATAAATAAATAGTATAAATAAATAAAGGGAATAAATAAATAAAATAAGTAAATAAATAAATAAATAAAATAAATAGATAAAAGGAGTAATTAGGTAAAGGAATAAAAAAGAGTTTCTTTTTTGTTTTTGTATATTGAATAAAATAAAAGTTGTATTAATTAATTAATTAATTAATTTAGTTAAATAAAAGTATAATATAAATAAATATAAATAAATAAATAAATAAATAAATAAATAATTTATTTTTTTCCTTTTTTTCCTTTTTTCTTTTTTTTATTATCTATACGAGGAAGAATAGGAGAAAAAGCAAGATTATGTATAAAATATAAATAATTAAAATATAAATTATTATTATAATTATTATATTTATTTAATAATAAAAAAGTATTTATTTCTTCTTCTTTTAATCCTTTTTCTCCTTTATTTAATATTTTTATTAATATATCTGTATTTATATATCCATTATTATCTAAATCATACAGAGAAAAAGCACGAAAAAGTTCTTCTTTTTCTTCTCTATAATCACATACACCCTGTATACATATATATATAAATATATTTATTTATTTATTTATTTATTTATTTATTTATTTTATTCTTTTTTTTATTCTTTTATATATTATATACACATATATATATGTATATATACAGATATGTTATTTTCTTTATATTGATAAATAAATAAATAAATAAATAAATAAATAAATAAATAAATAAATAAATAAATAAATTAATTAATTAATTAATTAATTAATCAATTAATTACCTCTACAATAGATAATAATAATTGTTTAGGGACAGTCCCTTTATATGCAGTAGGTGTCTCCTCTATTATTTTATCTATTTGTTCTTGGCTTATATCTGCCCTAAGGAGAAAAAGGAGACACATACACTTGCTGCTGCTCCTGCTGCTGCTCCTGCTGCTGCTGCTGCTGCTGTTGCTCGTGTTGCTGCTGCTAGTGTTGCTGTTGATGCATCGGGACAAACGATGAGCAGCAGCAGCAGCAGCAGTTCTACAGACATATCTTTGTTGCTTTTGCATGCATTTATTTGCATGCATATAAACAAAATTCTTCTTATTTTCGCCCCTTTTTTTTATTATAACTAATTAATTAATTAATTAATTAAATACAATTAATTAAATAAATTAAATAGACATATTCAACTATGCTTTTCTCCTTTTTATTCCCTTTTATTTATTTATTTATTTATTTATTTATTTATTTATTTATTTATTTATTTATTTATTTATTTATTTTCTTACCTAAGATCTACTAATAATTTAGTAACATCATCTACATCATATTCTTCTCCTTTTTCTTTTTCTAAGAAAATATTCAATTTTTCTTGCTGAGTATAAACCCTAAACCCTAAACCCTAAACCCTAAAACCCTAAAACCCTAAACCCTAAGCCTCTGTATTATCACAGGCAAAGGTATAAGGGAGTGACGCGGTTTGCAGGCGGTCGGTAGTACAGCTTCTAAACCCTAAACACTAAACCCTAAACCCTAAACCCTAAACCCTATTGCAAGTTGCTCACTTGCTCTGGCGAAAGGCATGAGAGGATAGGGGTTTTCGTGTCTGCTGCTGCTGCTGCTGCTGCTGCTGCTGCTGCTGTATTATTTTCTTCTTGTGGAGGAGGAGCAACAGCAGCACCCCCTTCCTCTGTTGTTGTATTAGGCCCCTCCATTTTGTAGCGCTGCAAACCCTAAACCCTTTTTAGACCTTCTTGCTCTCCTGTACTCGCCTTAGGGTTTAGGGTTTAGGGTTTAGCGGGTCCTTATGAAGACAGAGACTGGCAGACAATAGTCTACTTTGGCAAACAAATAAAACAAGTAATAAATAAAGGGTTTGGTTACCTTTTTCTTTTTTTTTCTAGTTTGAGGGTTTAGGGTTTAGGGTTTAGGGTTTTAAGGTTTAGGGTTTAGGGTTTAGGGTTTACGGCCCTGGTAGCACGTCAAGGGGGTATAAAGAAAGTTACGCCCTTAAATACCTTAAAACCCTCTAAATAAATTAAAATAAATAATTATATTTATAAAACAAATTTATTTTTTATTTATTTTATTTAATTATTCTTTTTTTATAGCAGCAGTAGTTCCTTTTTTGTTTTTTGCTGCTGCTCGGTGACCTCCGCCGCTATATATACAAACAGCCACTCTGCATGCAGCAAACAGCAACATATGACGTTATTATTACCATGAATTTAATGAAATAATTATATTAATTAATGTACTTAATTACGTAGAGGGAATTCACAAGAAAAAAGAAGGAATTTAAGCTCTTTTAGCCTGTGTTTCCCTCTTCCCTCCCCGCCACCGCCTTCCTTGCGCTGTACGATCAGCTCAGGTGTATAGGCAGCTTAACGCGAGTATGCAAATAAATAAAAAAATGGAAAAAAGAGGAAGTAAATAATAATTGTATATTTAATTAATAATTAAAAAAATAAATATTTATAATTTAAGGTTTATTGATACATCTAGAGGGAAATAATAAAAGGTTATACCCTAAACCCTAAACCCTAAACCCTAAACCCTGAGGTAATAAAGTTCGTTCCCTTTTTAGTTATTTACGACATTTTAATGTCTTTTACGAAGCTTTTTAATTAATTAAATTAATTAATTATATTAATAATTAATTTAATTCCCTCTTAATTAATATACTATTTATTATATTATTTATTTTTATTGGTATAATGCATGCAAATCAATGACCCTCCTTCTTGCTGCACGTTGCTGCTTACCACCAATGGTGGGGTTGTTGTTGTGTTACAGCAGCAGCAGCAGCAATAGCAGCAGCAGCAGCAGCAGCAGCAATAAATGTTGCTGCAGCACAAGGGAGAGAGAGGCAGCATAGGCTGTCTCTTCTTTCGCTAATACTTTTTGTTTTTTAATTATATTATATAAATAATAAATAAATAAAATAAATTAAATAATAAATAAATTAATTAAATAAAATAATAAATTAATTAAATAAAATAGTAAATAAACAAATTATTAGTAAAATAATATTTTAAATTGTCTGCATGCATGCATGCATAGAACAGCAGCAAACAAATCGTCTCCTTAATAGTAAAAAGGGCAGCAGCAAAACAGCAGCAAAAAACGGAGACAAAAGGAGACACCTTGCATGCGCTGCTGCTATATGAGTCTACTACTAAAAAAGCCAGCAGCAGCAGCAGCAGCAACAGCAGCAGCAGCAGCAGCAGCAGCAGCAGTCTTCCGTCTATGGTTAAAACAAACAAACAAAAACTTAAAAGCAACAAAATGTTTTTGTCTCTATTGTGTCTCCTTGCTGCTGCAGCAGCAGCTGCAGCAACAGCAGCTGCAGCAGCAGCAGCAGCAGCAGAAGAAGCAATACTTGCTTCTTCTTTATATATTAAAATAAAGCCAATAAAATAAATAATAATTAAAGTGTCCCCTTTTAATTAATTAATTAATTAAATTAATTAATTAAATTAATTAATTAATTAATTAATTAATTAATTAATTAATTAAAAAAAGGAGACAATTAAGTGTCTCCTTCTATCTGTATACCCCCTGAGGTGGTCCATTGGTCCACTGGTGTGGAGGTGTGGGGCCCCACAGGGGGGGGCAGCAATTCCTTAACAGATTCCTCTGTTAGCTCCTGTTGCTGTTGCTGCTGCTGCTGCTGCTGCTGTAGCTGCTGTATTTGCTGCAGTTGCTGTTGTAGTATCTGCTGCTGCTCCTTGAATTTAGGATCGTCTTGCTGCTGCTGCTGCTGCTGCATTTGCTGCAGTTGCTGCAGTTGCTGCTGCAGTTGATGTTCTTTAATTTGCAGCAATTGCTGCTGCATATCCCCCATCTCTTCTTCCTGCTGCTGCTGCTGCTGCTGCTGCGGCTCGTGCTGCTGGAAGAATTGTATATAAGGCAGCATCTTGTCTGCTGCAGACACAAGGGGCCTCTTGCTGCTGCTTATACAACCAACACGCGAGGAGACAATTGCTGCTGTCCCCTCGGGATCGTCTCCTTGGGGATCGTCTCCTTGGGGATCGTCTCCCCGATCCCCTAATAACCAATCTATATAGGATTGACTAGAAGGAGACACAGTAAACCCTACACCACCACCACTGCTGCTGCTGCTGCTGTTGCTGTTGCTGCTGCTGCTGCTGCTGTTGCTGCTGCTGCTGCTTTGTGGCTCTGCAGCAGGTGCTGCTGCAGCGGAGGTGTCTGTCTCTGTCCCCTTTTCTTCCTTTCCTTTATTTGTTTTATTTATTTCTTTTGTCTCCTCCCCTTTATCTGTCTCCTTTTCTGTCTCCTTTTCTGTCTCCTTTTCTGTCTCCTTTATTGTCTCCTTTTCTGTCTCCTTTATTGTCTCCTTTTCTGTCTCCTTTTCTGTCTCCTTTTCTGTCTCCTTTTCTGTTTCCTTTGTGTCTTTATTTATTTCTTTATTTATTTCTTTATTTGTCTCCGTTATGTCCCTTTTGTCTTCGTTGTATCTCCTCTCTTGCCCTTGATCTTGTTGCTCTTGATGCTCTTCTTGCTGCTCTTGTTTCTGTTGCTGCTGTTGTTGCTGTTGCTGTTGCTGCTCCTGTTGCAGCTGATGCTGCTGATGTTGTTCCTGCTTGTGTTGCAGCTGCACATGGTGCTGCGCTTGCTGCTGCTGGTGCTGCTGCACTTGCTGATGCTGCTGCAGTTGCTTCTGTACTTGTTGATGCTGCTGCAGTTGCTGCTGCTGTTGCTGTACTTGTAGCTGCATATGCATTTCCTCTATCTGCTTGTGATGCTGCTGCTGCTGCTGCTGCTGCTGCTGCTGCATATGTTGCTGCACTTGCTGCTGGTGTTGTTGTTGCATAATATGTTGCTGCTGATGATTATGATGTTGGTGTTGCAATTGTATATGTTGCTGCTCTACGTGTTGTTGCCCTTGTTGTTGTTGTTGTTGCTGCTGCTGCATATGCACTTGTTGCTGCTGCTGCTGCACTACTTGTTGCTGCTGTAGTAGTATATATTGGTGTATATCCCCTTGTCTTTGTTCTTGTTTAACCATTTGTTGTTGTTGTTGTTGTTGTTGTTGTTGTTGTTGTTGTTGTTGTTGTTTTTGTTCCTCCCTTTTCTGTTTCTGTTCCTCCTCCCTTTTCTGTTTCTGTTCCTCCTCCCTTTTCTTCTGTTCCTCCTCCCTTTGCTGCTGCTGCTCCTCCTCCCTTTGCTGCTCCTCCTCCCTTTGCTGCTCCTCCTCCCTTTGCTGCTCCTCCTCCCTTTGCTGCTCCTCCTCCCTTTGCTGTTCCTCCTCCCTTTGCTGCTGCTCCTCCCTTTGCTGCTGCTCCTCCCTTTGCTGCTGCTGCTGCTGCTGCTGCTGCTGCTGAATATTTAGTATTTTAATTTGAATTCTTTTAAAGAATTCATAAAATTCATTTTTTTTGAGAAATTTTTTGGCGAAATTTCTGAAATTTTCATCAAAATATAAATCTTCTAATTCATATAAACTAAGAGGACGAACTAATTCCTTTTCCTGCTCCTTCTCCTGCTCCTGTTGCTGCTGCTCCTGTTGCTGCTGTTGCTGCTGTTGCTGCTGATGCTGCTGATGCTGCTGATCATGATGATGGTAGTGGTGGTGGTGGTGGTGGGGATCATGGATAGGTTGGTGGGTTGGAGGGATCCATGGATAGTTTGCTCCTTCTAACTCCTGTGTAGGAGACTCCTGCTCCTGCTCCTGCTCCTGCTCCTGCTCCTGCTGCTGCTGCTGCTGCTGTTGTTGTTGTTGTTGTGTGTCTTGCTTATTTGTGTCTCCTCTATCTAGAGCAGGAGGAGGAGAAGAAGGAGGAGGAGGAGGAGGATAATGATTATGTTGTTGTGCTTGTTGTGCATCAAGCATCTCCTGCTGCTCAGCTAATCTCCATGTTTGCTCAATTTGCTGCTGTGCTGCAGCAGCAAATCTTTGAGGGTCTCTTCTTGCTGCAGAAAGGAGACAATCAACTAATTGAGGATTTAATTCATTACTAATTGTCTCCGCTAATGGATCTATTACTGCAGCAGCAGCTATTTCTCCTTTATTATTCATACAATATATCTTACGTGGCATCATATTCTGCTGCTGCTGCTGCTGCTGTTGCTGCTGCTGTTGCATGTGCTGTGGTTGCCGCAGCAAACGACCACTTAATGCATCTACTGCTTCTTTTTCTGCTGCTGCTCCTGCTGCTACAGGTGTCTCCTCTTCTTCTTGTTCCTCATTATACACATCAAGATCTGTCTCCTCTGCTGCTGCCTCCTGCAGCAACTGCCCACATAGTGCATGCAATGCAGCAGCCTCATCTTCCCTTGTGCTGCTGCTGCTGCTTGTTGTTGTTGCTTGCTGCTGCTGCTGCAGCTCTCCTCTAGAGTTAACAATATTTGAATGGAAGACACGAAGGCCCTCTTGTGTCCCTCGGCTATCCACTGGAGACGCAGCAGCAGCAGCAGCAGCAGCAGCAGGAGCAGCAGGAGCAGCAGGAGGAGAAGTTATAGCCCCTGTGCGCAGCACCTTAGTAACAAGAGATTGCTCAATTGCTGCTTCCTCTTCTTCTTCTCTTGTTGGTCTTAATGAATCATCATCATACTCGCTGCTGCTGCTGCTGCTGCTGCTGCTGCTGTTGGTGCGTCTGCTGCTATAGGTGTTGCCGTATGCTTCCTCTGCTGCTGCTATAGCTAACGATGGCGGTCTATCCTCCGCATCTGTATCTGCTTCTGTATCTGCTGCTGCTGCTGCTGTTGCTGCTGCTACTGCTGCTACTGCTGCTGCATCTGCTTCTGTTAATAGTCCCTTTTGCTGCTGCTCTGCTAAGGGGACAGCACAGCGAGCAGCAACAGCAGCAGGAGACAT